TGAAGTTTTCAGCTAGTCTATGTGCTCTTGCTATGAACTACGCTAGCAGATTCAAATAACAACTTCAAAATCCATCAAAAGAAACTGTCGTGGTGTAAAGGGAAGCGGTGAGTTTTGCAACCGTGTCAGCAAAACTGGTTAGAACTCCGACTGTGATTGCCAAGGCCAAATTGTTGGCCACGTGGCACTCCGTAGCCAGTATCGTTATACAAAGAAGTGCTTTGCGGTTTTCACACGCCTATCCAATCCGTTGTACTTCACTGCGCCACACTCAAACCAGATTGTGGGTTGAATTCACTGGATAAGTGTGATTGCCAGGCATTTGAGCCAATCAGGTCATTTATACCATTTGCCGCCATCAATAAAATCGTTTGTATAAAGCGCATAACGGATCAGTCCGATCGTATTGTTCTGCTGCCAAAATGTTAGTTGAAACGGTGGTGTGCGTCTTCCTGATTTGTAAGTTCCCCAGGTCATTTCTTTAGTAGACCGTTGTGGTTAATTAGGAAAATAAGTTTGTTTTGAAACTGAACTGAACATATGCATCTTACTTTTGCTAAACTAGTGGGATACTACCACTGTTATGTAAATGCTTCTGTTTAACTTCATATAGATATGGTTATTCTCGGCAGTACACGGTTTGGTCTTCTGCACGACGGCTTGGCGAAGGTGAAGGAGGTCTGATTTAATTGACCTGCTTGGAAAATATGACTGATAACATCACTTGGCCACTTCTCATAACCGGTTTGGTTTTGTTCGTATTTGATTACTGATTGATTACTGATTACTGGTTGAAAGCAGCAAGTATATCTTGCTTTGTGTAGTTGCAGCTAGTGTTACTCAGGGACAAAGATCCGTTTGGTTGTGTTGCGCTCAATATATTTTGCGTCGGCAAAGTGTTTGTCAAGGAACCCTTAAATTCCAACACTGAGTTTGCCTCAACTACGTGCTGTGGCAGGTCGTTCCATACATTCACTACTCTGCGTTCGAAACAGAGTTGGTGAGCGACCCGCTTCAAATCCTGTACGACAAGCTTGTACCCGTGTCCTCTAGTGTGGCTTGGTGTGCGCAGATGAAGCAGCGGTCTCAACATGGGGTAATCTCCCAGATGTACTATCCGGTACGTCATGATGAGGTCAACCCGCATTCGACGATAAGCTAGGGTGTAGAGCCTTAGTTTCTTACATCGGTCTTCGGACGGCACACCTCGTAACTTGGAAATCAGACTATATGCTGCACTCGCTCAATCTTTTCTACCTGGCCCCGGGTGATAGGACAATACGCGGAAGAGCCATATTCTAGCCTTGGTCGTATTATTGAGACGAAGAGGAGAGTGGCAATCTCTTCGGACGAAGTACTGAAGCTGCACCTGAGCGTCCGAAGCATACAAAGTCTGTTTTGGTAAAGCCTATTCGTGTTGTCCACATAATGTATACTGCTTTGGGCTCCATTGGTCACAAGTAAGTCTACCGTATATATTCGACAATGGACGATCAAGTTGTAAATGCTAGGTGCCTGCCATTCCAACGGAGCAGGACGAGAGTTATTCCACGTGTGTAAACATTACGTGCATCCATTAAATGACATCTTGTTGCACGTATAAAACAGTGCTACTGCTGCTCAGCGATTACACCGCATGTTAACAAACGACATAATTTTGTCATGTCAGCGGCAGCTGTGTGTCACATATTCCTCAAAACAAGATTGAACAACTTTTAACCGCGACATGTGCAACTTTCAAGCACAATAACATTGCCATATATTTTTCTTTTAATAGCTTTTGCCAAAGTATTTGGTGAACCCCTGTACGCCTACAGTAAGTAACTATTTCTGCTGTTATAGCTTCGACATTTTAATTGGTAACTATGTGTTATATCGCTATTTCGTCTAGCTCATCCTTCATAGAAAGATTTTTTCATTCCTGCGAGAAACACCGACGAACTACATCGCTACCTGTGATGATGGGTTTTAGCTTGTGTTCTACATACTCGCAACCCTCTTCATCTGTATTATTCTAATACATTTTCGTAGACATACACATAAAAGGATACGTTCTCAAACATGGCATGAACATGTCTTGGAATGCAGAGATGAAAGCTAAAGACAACACAGAGAAATCGCAAATTCAAGAGGATGTTTGCCAACGAGTAAGTTGAAGCAGTGTATTCTGTTTAGGTATTGCTAAGGTTATCTCGCTTGATGGCATGACGTGTTATGCATCTAGTGCGATCAATTTTGTTATGCATTTGGCCGGTAGGTGTACTTAGCTCTTTCTTTCAATAGGCCATCACACATAAATTTTTAATTTGTCGTCCGGCATTCTAATGGCACGCAGAGTAACACACTCTATGATACATTATTTCAGTTGAAAACATCCTTGGCAGTCGTGACACGCACGTCCCATCAAGCAATAAAATGCAAAATGGGCAAATGCATTGGTGATCCAGCTGGTGGATACGTGGTTGTCGTGTTCAAAATGGACAAATTCAGAAATAAAAGGAAACGTATTGGAGAAGTGATTAAACATTTATATCGCAGATTTGAGAAAAGCACATTAGAAAATAGAATGAAATTGGGTCCTGTGGTGGGCAAAGTCCACCAACGCGAAGGTGAGTTGGAACAGTCTGTGCTTTGGACTCACCTTGAATCGTGGATCAGTCTTCGTTCTGCTGGAAACCGCATCTTGTTTCTCCTCACACATTAGGTTGTTACAACAAGTAAATCACATGATCTAATACAAAGCTGCTGAAATCATCAGAGTTATTTGACGTGTTCACATAGTGAAGATTTTTCAGAGGTAAACGCAGAGCAAATAAATTTACGGCATCCTACTGTGCATTTTTGAGGTTCTCGGTGTGCGAACCCATGTCAGCATGCCAACGCTGTTGGGGAAGAGATTAGCTGTGGTATATAATTCTGAAATATATAATAAACAGAAAATATATGATGAAATCAACAGTAACGTCTTCTTAGAAATAACATTTGCCAAAAGAATTTTTCCATGCTTTTCCTTACAGTGATCACGGACGACGTTGGCAACACCAGCAAGTTGTTCTGATAACTAAAATTTGCACGATAACCGCAGCTAATTTCTGATTGCTATTGATGGCAATTTTACACTCTAGTTTTCTTTACAGTTGTAGCACATCTATTTTGATTCAGATTAGTGATTTGTAAGATTTACTGGCGAAAGAGAACTGCACTTATTTAATCATGACCGATTAAAACATGTGCTATTGTGTTAGGCTTACATTTTCGAGTAAACATTGAACAGCAACTGGTATTTTAAAAAGAAACAGAAAGACAAGTAATCGTTTCGGATAAACCAAAAAGCCTAACATTATCTTATTAAAGTAAATGTATCATATCCACTGATTTGCCCTAAATTTTAAATCATTTTTCTACTCTCGAATTTCTATATTTTTCAGTTATTCGGTTTCGTATGGAAATTTATGAAAACGGTCAATTCATTGAATGGCACAACGCGTACGACAAAGCTGCAGTGTTGAAAACGATTGAAAGCAGTATTTGCCCAAGGGTGCGACAGTTTTGACCCCATTGAATTTAGAACTTCGATCATAAGTATTCAACTTTATGATCGTTATAAGTGCACTTCTGGGTGTTTGTTGCAAAGCCACTTGTCTAAATACCGGCAATAGAACATAGAGATCCTTAATTGTTCGAAGCGTTTGCAATTGGAACGGACTATTTGTTAGATAGCTGAAATAATAATCAATATTTAGATTCCCGGGAGCGATTCATCTCGGATACTATGCATGAAATAATCCAGCGTTTATTCGCAGCATCCAGTAGTGAACAATTTGTGGATTTATCTGATTGAGGACATGTGAAATTTGTTTGCACCTAGATGAGGTGAACATAAATAAGTTTAAATGTACACGAACAATCGAGAATACAATAAGGAATAATCGGGAAATTATTCAAATATCTGATTGATGTAGCATGATACTATTAATCAAAGATAAAGTAACTAACACCATATTCGCGCTAAATATTCACCGCTGTTAATAAAATTCTACAGGGACCTATTTCATTAATTCTCTAGCATAATGAATTCGTCAGGGAATCATCTGGTGCAGCTTCATCATTGGTACCTTTCCTGTGTTTAGATTCTTCGTTGGGGGCGCAAGTCCTGGCTCATAACAAGAAAGGCACCGTTTAACTGCAAAGTGATTGGTCCGACTCAACGAAATGCAGTGGGGTATTTTGACATCCACATTATTCGGGAAGCAAAAAGCACTGCTAATTTTACGAGCGCACTGATGGTCACAAACGAAACAGCAAAGGGGACATACGATCTCGCAATTATACGGTCCAGATTCCGTGAGTAACAAACCAGACCGCTTAGTGACGTAATAGATGCAAATCTAAAAGCCATCATTAGTTTATTGTCAAAATTTAATCATGCGCTACCAAGAGATTAATCAACTGTGGGTCTACATTATTTTGCAGGAAAAAGGAGAGCATATTAAAGTGAGTTCCAGCGCAGGCGAGTTTCTACTGTTGCTGAGGTGTTACTTATAGTAATCCATTGTTTGGGTAGCTTGAAACACCACTCTAAGGAATTATGACGCAAATGGGAAACACGTTGTTTCTATACCTACTCTCAAACAATTGAATCCATAATGCATTCATTTTCATCCTTACTGAAAGTATGCTCCTTCATGGGTGTCCGTAGATGGTCGTTAACGACTACAACTTGCATCTAGCAGACAGGGACGACAAATCATTCAGTAGCATCTCACTTTGGGTATTCATCTGTTTTAACATCTGTTTATTTGAGCTAAATCCCTCAATGAACAGTATGTAATATCTAAAGAATGTTTTCACCAGTTGGAGACGAAGTGTAAGTGTCTCGAGTGATCTATGGAAGAACATGGTTTTCTTGTAGAAGACTTTAAAAGCAATATGAATACCACAGGCTAAAAAGTTAAGGAGCGAAGGATAGTAGATTAAAACAATTCTGATTGGAAGAAGGTTTAATCTAACAACTGAACGGCTAAACATCACTTATATCTCAAGACATGTGTGTGAAGGAAATGTGGTTGTCATGAGCGAGGATTGCCAGCAGCAATACAATGTGAGTTAGCTGAAAATATCAATGTTATCTACCCACGTGACACTCTCAAGAGCACTTCCTTACGTCATCAGATTGACTTACTCATTTAAGGCTGCAAGTCCTACGGTCACAAGCGGTGTATGTTTGTCACTGCTGCCAAAGCCCCAACAAGCTATAGAGCTGATTTGGTGAAACGCCTACACCAATAAACATAACGCGCTCAACCGTTACGGAAGAGGTGCGAACAGTTATAACTGACTGGTGATCTGAAAGCCAAGTTGAAAAACTGTGCACTGCGTAGCCTCTTCTGGGTGCTCACCACGCTATACGCTGCATTAATTATAACAAAGATAAGGTTCTACCTTTGTAAGGAGATATAGGTCTACCTTTTCCGAGAACCACAATTCGACACCGGATTTACCGGAGGGTGGCTTTACGCCGTCCAACATCACACTAAAAGTGCACGCAACCCGAACACCTGGACATACAGCGTCCAAACCCTGCTCATCCCGTACTACAAGCGCTGACTAGGAACATGCTGATATCCTAGTGAAATGCAGTGGATTGCCGCGTCTAGTCTGGAATGCATAGAATCTCGCCAAATAACAGGGTCAAATGTTTTGAGAGCGTATCAACTTGTGGATTGAGTAAGTGCTTATTATACGCACAAGTCGCATGTATGCTAGACGTAAATAATAGTTGGTATGCCTTGGTGTGGCGGCAAACCCGAGGGTAATGAGCCTCAGGGAGGTCTATCAAATTGTTCGGTGCTCGTCGACCCATTCCAGCTGTTAGCTAACCCAACGAAATTCGTAACCATTTCAAAGAACAATGCGTACTGTAATGCTCAGAAAGCGAAACCTGGATAAATCATTGTGCGTCGGAGGTGGAAACGACCATATTCTCGACAACCATCCGTTGTTATACGGGAAGTGAGCAGAGTGCGTTTTAGTATTTACGACATTATTTATAAGATGGGCTGACATAGTACCCAAGAACAGTCATAACGCTTGCATCTGTAAGCTAAGCACAGCGAACGGCAATTAAATCCGGCAGCATCATCAACTTGCTTGTCGTCCATTTATCACATTATGTCATGAATTTTCCACGGGTCTGAGATTCCCAAATGTTTAGGTCGTGGCCATGCAAGCTTTAGTTTGCTATTAAGATCGTTTGCTGAAATGTTTTACTGGGCATTGGAAACAGCAACGGCAACCAAATATGGATGGTATAGCCTAAATGTCAGCAGCTTCATGCAGAAAGATATGTTTAACTTTTATGTATGCAAATTCAAATTTTCGTGTGTTATCCTAAGTTATTGATGCAACGTGAGTTCTGCTGCACATCAACCTTGATCTTTCATCACATAGAGACAGCAATCAGAACTGCACCTTAACCAAATGGCTTTTGTTCACTGGCTTCAATCTTCAAATTTTTGATCATTTTTCATACGCTTGCAACGTTTCGGTATCTAGTTACAGCACAGATCAAACGAAAATTTCATACAAATTAAAACGCTATCCGCAACAATTCGTATTTTCAGATCAACAAACGGAATTGTAGCCAGTGTCATCCGTCAATTAAAAATAGTTGGTATTTTTAGGTCATAACTTTGCGAGCGGTAACTTCCTCACCTCTGTAGTGAGTACGGATTGTAAAAGCGCATCAGAGCGCGCATTCTTGGCGATCACATTGACCAAGTTAGTGAGTAATTCTCTGCTGGTAATCTATGGATTTGAATTCGAAAACACTCATTGCGAAGAAAATGCATTGAGTTTACCCCACTAAGATACATTACACCAACACAGCCTCCAATGATCCTTATGCAAATCATCCGACCAACCTCAACGATTTTGACTGAGTTCAAGCATCACTCAATGATGTGATGTGAGTGCTCAGCACGGAGTTCTTGAGGTAAACTGACCTTGACAGATTACGAAGCGAATTGCCGAGTATCAGCCAAATTCTCTTTGTAGTGCGTTTTTCGTCCATATCTTAAGTTGGTCAGTGATCAACAGGAATATTTCTATCAATTGGAGATAAACAATTTCATTTGCTTCACTTGGATTGCATTATACAGTCAACCACATTTTGCCCATCATCAGCAATTAGTGGTAGCGAAATAGGCATCTACGTTTTCCTTCGCAATCAGACCTAATTTAATATATAAAACATGTCTTCGGATAAGTATATTGTTAAACCCACATAAGCCATAAGTATCGATAAGTAATAAACTTTACGAATTGTGATAAGTTTCACAAACGATGGTACTTTCGCTAGTTCGCATTATTTCGTTATAATATTCTGAACAAATAGCACTTTTGTTGTGTGACCTATTTGGAGAAGTTTTATCAGTTTGCATTCTATTCGAGGAATGAAAATACGTCTGCACATGTATTCTAACGCACCGAATTCTTTCACGTTACAGAACCAACCCGATCATGAAAGAAAGTATTAATTGCATGCTAGAGTTTAGCTCCGAGTAGTGTAACTGTGCACGTGTTATGTAGTACTTCTTACATTTTCCACACACGGAAGCGTCAGTATGAATTTTAAAGGGCCTACGGTACTAGAAATAAAAGACCAGTATGTTATTTTACGTTTCGGACAAGTAGACTGGCACAGTTCTCCTAACTTACGGCACCACCATCGGGGAGGCTGCTTCTGTGACTGCGCAAACACATGCGTCTAAGCATTTGCTGTCAAACCAACTGAAAGTCTCAAAAGCACAGGATATTTGGGTAGAACGAAAAACCCTGACACTCGAAGTCGGAGAATAATTCAATGACCAACAGAAAATCGGGATTATTATACCATCACTGGGCAAGCGCAAAGTCATCGTCAGTGTTGAACTACGGTGCTATGTACGAACCGTAGAATCAAATAATTAAACTAGTGCATCTTGTGCAAAACAATTATCGCTCAGCGCCAGGTTGCCCAGGTTGTAGTGAAAGGACATTCTTTTTTCACTTGTTTATTTAGAGATATATATATGTCTGTACACACAAACGGCTATAGGAAATTACCTGCTACATTTCAACGCCACGAGGTGGAAGACGTTGAACACACACTTTCAGTCCACGAGATACGTGCTTGGGGATCAAAATTTGCAGCGCGCTACTACTGAATGCGACCTAGGTGTAATAGTACAAGAGAAGTCTGGCTGTTCACTTCAGGCTGAGAAGACACCCAATAAAGCCATTCAACACCTGGGCCTTTCGGGCGTTTCGACCATTCAGTCATCTCTCATATGCTTAACACCTACCGAATCAGAACACGCCATGCACGCCTGGCAGTTCTGGTGCAAGCACGATCTCACCGCACTTCAAATGCTACAAATAAAACGGATCACGTACCAAAGATTCTGTATCATCTGGCGTAACAACTGAAGTTGAAAACCCGTGGGGTTTATGGTGGAAAAAATGGACGCATGCGTAGCGATTTGATAATGACTTTTGATCCTATGGTCTCCAAATCACGCTTGTAGTCATCTACTAAAGCTGAATAACAATACTACACTGAGATGTCACAAGCGAAATCTGACCACACAGTTTGTCCGGTTGGATTGGATTTATTTTCATTTCGCCTGTGCCAACCATGGAAAGCCCTCTTTATTTAGGATGTTTTCCCCCACAATAACAATATTCATTAAACGTCTAAAAGATGCACTCATACGTTTACATAACGCCATATAATCCTCTAAGTCCGACTTTATCCCAACACTAAAATTCAACGTGTATATTTTCAGTTTCAGCACATGATTCGTGAAACGCTACCATTGGATTCCCGTATCCCGTCAGCCCAAGAAACCCGCATACGGGTAAATGATGTCGTTTCCTTTAGTCCTCATTTTCTCACGTATGGCGTGAACTATAACCACTCCCCATTGTACCTAGCATACGAAATTTCCACTCTCATTCCCAAATATAGTTATCCGACATTACTGTTAAATCACCATCGATTATACGACGGACTACTTATGCATTGATCAATATATTCTCACTCTAACACACTACAGAACTTATCATGCACCTGAATACTTACCCTTAAAAAGTTGTTCATGATTCACTGACCGACCAGCACACTCCCGACAATTGATCAGTCTTCGTATAACTCCTATACGCTATATGGTGATTTTGGCATCTGATGGGAACTATGCCGCTTCCAAAACGATAACATACGAACGAACTAACGATTTTAGATATCTACGGAGATTTCCTGGTGTTGTTAACCAATCGCAACTTCTCCGATGA